TTACCAATTAAGTGTGATCAACTTGAAGCAAGATGACTCCTATGTTGAGGTATCCTCACATAGCTGTAGAATAAAACTTGCCTTTTCTATGTAAAAGCCATTCCTTTTTTGCTTAACAGGGAGTCTAAGGGGAAGGCAGCAAGCAGGGTTAGAAAGAGAAAGAGGAGGATACAGAGGCAGAGCGAACAGCAGATAATGGAGGGTCAGATCTTGGTGTGCACTCCTTCAGCCTTGGGCTCTGACCTGCAGTTGCTGAGAGCTGTCACTGAGACTGTCCTCCCGTCTCCGGGCCTCCTCCAGCATCTGTGCACTCTTCTTCTTCTCCACCTGTTCCTTGTGCTTCAGATTTGCTACCTTCTTATTCTGGTCTTTCACTTGCCTGTTGGTGGAAAAGGAAAACAAAGCTTTTCGTGTCTGCGCAGGAGGTATATGTTTATTTACATGCTTGCCTGTGACAAGGAGTACCTGAATAGCAACAAGACACTCCTGATGAAAACTCTTTTCAAAAATTCCAACTTTTTCCTCTCCAAGGTACCAAACTATATACAATAATAATGCTGCAGTTTTCTAATGGAAATGTATTCTAGCACACACAATGAAATTATCGAATAAAAGAAGGGCACAGGAGGGTGTGAATCACAGAAGCAGTCTCTTGACATTAATATACTGAAAAATTAGTTGGCGATTAAGATATGATCTTGGAACACCATCACAATCATATACTTATTTAATACTTCAAATACGCAGTAGGCAAGGTCTACTGTACGCGTGGATGACAATAACGACAGAAGCAGCTAGGAACTTAGAAAAACACAGAACAGTCTAACTTGGCAGCTCTGTATTACTCTCTATCTCGTTACACTGTCACGCTGTCCTTCACTGTGAGCAGTCTAAATATATTAAATTCAATCTGATGTTTAAAATGGCCTTCCTGTTGTGAATGTTCCTACTCATGTCTATAGTCTCAGTATTTGCAAGGGTCAGGAAGGACAGCTGGGATTTTAAGGTCAGCCAAAGCTACATGATGAGATCTAGGCCAGTCTGAAGGTACAGAGTAAGATCTGTTTCCAAACAAATGAAACGAAAACTCTTTTCTTACATGTCTATTACACATACATAGATGGCTTCATTAGGTTGCACATTTTCTAATTTTATAAGATTTCTAAGTACTTATTTTCAATATGTTGCCTAAGATTCAGAGTTATCAGTGAAAATGTCATGGATTATTTTAACCCCTCAATTTCTACTATAATATCAAATCATGCCTAGAATTTTTTACTCCATTCTCAAAGTAATAGGCAACTTTCTTGATCTGGCAAACAATGCTACTTAGTACAAAGTGACAGAACTATGAAAGAGTTTGTCAAAAGGATAAGTTCGGCTCACATACATCTTTAACAATTTCTCTCATAGGAAATACCTAATCATCTGTCACATGTCACCACATCAACTAACACTTAGCACTACACAGACACAGTGTGTCAAATGTAGGACTTTTTTATCGGGTGGGCTGGAATGCTGACATGAAACCCACGGCCTTGCACACATGCTCAGGTAAGCCCCTATCACTGCTCTACATCCTCACCCCAGCCCGGCCAATTAAAGTTCTAAAATGCAGCCTCCTGGTTATCAGGTTGTAACTCCTTTCATATAGTGTCTGGCCTTTCCTCTTTCCACCACTGTCAGTCAACTAAACTCGTTTCTTCCATTGGTTAGGACATCTTTATTTTGTTGTATGTTTCTTTGTTTAATTAATTCTTCTCTCATATATTACATCCAGACTATAGTTTCCCCTCTCTCCTTCCCTCTGAACCCCCCACACCCTCACCTCCTTTTCCTCAAGATTCACACCCCCCTTTTCCTTCAGAAAGGGGCAGGCCTCCCAGGGATACTGACCAAACACAGTATATCCAGTTGCAAGAAGACTAGGCACATTCCACTACATTAAGGGTGGACAAGGCAACCTAGTAGAAGAAAAGGGTCCCAAAAGCAGGCAGAAGAGATAGAGAAAGCCCTTGCTCCCACTGTTAGGACTCCAACAAGCTCATCAAGCTACACAACTATAACATATGCAGAGGGCCTAGGTCGGACCCATACTGGCTTCTCTGTGAGCCCCTATTAGTAGA